CAATGCATCTTAGTGACGTGACATATGAATCTATTAAACACTAAAGTGTTATAGTGATGTTACAAAAGGTTTGAATGTCTGATGACAAAAAACAAAACTTTTAAGACACTTTTTTCCTCGCACTACCAATCTGTGGAAAAAGTTATCGGCTGCGGTATTTCCGAACCGATACAACATTCAAACCTTCAAGAAAAGAGCGTACTCCTTCCTCAAAGGCTGGTAACGCGCTTGTGACTCCTGAGTTGCAGACGTTTAATGGCGGTGGCCGTCGCCGGTGACCCGTCTGCTCGTTTGCCCCCCATTCCGTAAAAAAAAAGTTTTTTTGCGGTGCCTTTTGCTAGTATATACGAAGTGGAAAGACTAAAGAGTATGTTCAAAAGCTTTCCGTATCGCTTCAAGCAGGTAAATTCTGTTTTGCTTCTCGCCTCGCCATATGGTTGCTATCGACAGAGATGTATTTAGAATGTATGAATTTAATTTGTACTCTTTAATTCGTACTACTGCTACTGCGGTAGGGGTCCACCTTAATGCGATCGTGCCGCATTCAGTGACATTCAGTTACAGATGGGGCCTAGTTAATAAGGCATCACGAAATCTTGGCCTTATAAAGCGTACCTGTAAACACTTCAGAAACTGTCACAGTCTGAAAATAGTGTATTACGCCTATGTCCGTAGCATTTTGGACTATTGCTCTCCTGTCTGGTCTCCGCAATAGGTATACGGTTTACATTGCAAGAATTGAGATTCCTTAACTTTAAATGTAAGAAGCGTCATGATTCCTACTCCGTTGACAGTAAACTGTACGTGTGGTGACGGATTAAGAATATAGACTGTCACCACCCCTATTCATTATTAAGTACTTGGTTTAGAATTTATTTTTGATTAAGTTTATTTCTGTGTTATGTTTTTTTTTCATTTTTTTCTTTTCGTGAAGATTTTTTGTTTTAGCTATTTCTACTTCTTAGTTAAAGTGGCAACAAACTGTCATGAAACTCTATTATTACCTTAAGTATATTGTGTAAGTGTCACAATAATCATGTGTGTAATGTAAACAAGCTGTTGAGATTCTTATAAATATATATAAATACATAAAAATAAATAAATACTTCTAAACCTTTTTTTTGTAAATACATACATATTATACATAGAACACAGTCAAACTGCTTAAAAATATTTGCAGATCATACAAACATTTGGTCCGACCCGGGAATTGAACCCGAGATCGAAACAGCAGTCGCATATGCTACCACTGCACCACCGAGGCAGTCGACGGTAGGTTACTATCAAGTGACTCACCCGCTCGTTTGCCCCCTATATTCCATAAAAACAAACTCGAAATTGTTTAGCAGTATCTCCAAATACGGCCCTGTACACTCCCACACAAAATGGCCGTCACAGAACTCCCTACGTCACGATCACAGATTTAACAACCACGCACCTTTTATTGTGCGAGTGATAGCTTAATAAACCGCTTTATTTATTTTGATTGTCGATAAGCGCGATAAAGGATGTGAAAATGTGTTTATCGCTATTTTACGACCGTTGAAAAACTGCAGTATATTTGAGGTTTTAATTGCTTTGGCCACCCGGCATTTTGTACACAGAATTTATCGAGATGTCTCTGATATACTATACAACTGATGTACCCACATTATTTTGAGAGTTTTATGATGTAGAGGGAAATTGGTATTCAGCCAATATTTTTTGTTACTTTTTATCGAATGATTAAGGTTGGAAGACCAACCCCCTCCTCCCTAACCCTTGATGGGAGGGGGGGTGGAATCTAAAGGGACCCTCAGGTATCATGGCCGGCGGTTGTCAAGTGATAACACCTTTGAGGTGGGATGTTCTTTTAAAGGATTGAAGGTCATAACAGTGTGGATATACCGCAGGCAATCGTATTATATACCTACAAACAAGAGGTAGATACGGCAACAACGCACAAAACGCGAGGGTCCTAATTAGGACCACTGCGAGCGAACGCACGTGCTAATTAATTCGAGACTATTCATAAAATGCCTTCCTGTGTATTCCGAAAGGGCACAAATTACGACAAAAAGGTAAATAAAGATAAAATAATATCATACCACAAGTAAGTGTAATTTTTTGTTTTAAAATGCATTAATAGATGTATGTATGGTTACGTTAATGTTTTGTGCAATTAGTATAAATATAATATATCTTCCATAAAAATCATTCACCGGTAATTTGTTCCAAAGACTAGTTGTGCTGGCAAGATTTTTGAAAAGCATACAGCGGTGTACCAATTATCTAAGTGATGGGGATGAATCTTTTGTCGCGTTAAACGATAACGGAATGCTGCGGCCGGTATTAGTCTGAACAATTCCCTGTGAGTAGTTTTTATCACACTAATTCAAAAATAAGATTACTTCGCGGCTGATATTAGGCAGGTACGTACGAGTGGCCATAAACAACAGAATCAAGTTTGTTTTCTTTTGTTTCGTACAGACCATAGCTTTCCTTCTTTACTCTGCTGACTCTATTTGCAAACGGAAAAACTATGAGTCGTGTCGGCCGTCGTACGTATGTTGCGTACTTTCACTCCTCTGATTCTCTCTTTAGAGGTATTCTCTTATTTTCGCGTAGGTTTTCGTCATTAGTAAGTTGGACTAATTTTCAGTTTGTTCGTAACCATAAAAGTAGGTAGGTAATAGGTATGGGACAAAATCACAGTAAACTGTGAAAGACCGGCGATTTATCATTCGATTTTTTCGTACGTATAACCTACGGGTTACTACTTAGGTACTCATGAGTTGTTGCCATTAAGCTGTTTTCAGACGATGCATAAAGACCCTATGACGCCTATTTAACAATAAATCTAGTAATTATTTTATTAAATATAGCTGCCATTAACTACATAATACTAAAAAGAAATACTAGATTTACTGTTAAATATTTTTTTGATTTTGTCTCAACTCCCATGTCTAGTAGGTAAGTACAGGCACATCTAAATAAATAATACATTCCTAAACCGATTCTGCATCATAATAATGGTCTTATGTACATTATTTAATTACAATATTATTTTTAATAGGGAGGTAGCAAATAGCAAAAAAAAACCAACAACAATTTATGTTTTCTTCCAATTCAATTTTTCGTAATGGAATAAACGCGTTCGGTTTTACGCTGGCGTACTTTGGCCGCTGCTCCTTGAACTTGACGGTTTGAAGCGTTCCGATTCGTGACGTAAGTGCGCGTTTCTTCAGTTTCTTAAAGCGGCAGAGATGCTCCGAACAACAGAACTGACCTTATAATAAAACACGGAAATAAAACACGGGAAGCGTGACTTTTATGATGCGAAGCGTAAGGCACGAGATTCAAATAAAAATATTTTTCTACTTGGGTTGTTTCGCGAGTGCGCGACAAACCTGCATGAGCGAGGCACCCGGCAGTTGTCCTACTCGGAACGGTTGAGCCAGCATATTATGGGCAAAAAAGCAAAGAATTATTACTTTTTTATCCAAATTTTTAGTTTTATGTTTCATAAGTCTCTGCACTCATGTCTCTCATCAAAATTGATTGACTTTAGTATAAGTGCCAAGTAAATATCGAGGTTTTATATTATGTGTATTTTTTTGTTTGTATGTGTGTATCCAAACAGTAAAAATAATAATTAAACTCTTTATATTACTGAATTTCTATCTATAGATAGGTAATATTATGTAATTCGGACTGCTGGTGGTATGATAGCTAAAAATAAGGTAAATTTTACCAAAACATATTTTTAAAACAAACAAAAGCAAAACAATTAGTATTTTGTACAAAAAACCTCGTCTGTAAACGCTTCAAGAGTGTTTAAGAGTGCATAATTAATAATTTGGCTTTGCGGAACGAACCCACCACTTGTCGAAATCACGGGTACTGCCATCGGAACTTAAAATATTTGCGCAGTGACTATCAGAAGCGGGGAAAGAAACGTACATGTCACGATTGACAATGTACGTATTTCAAAGACATGCCATTTGATAATTAGAGATGGGCGTTTTCGTTAAATTTTGTCATCGATGCGCATCGTTAATTGGTGAACCGCATCCGATGCCGGCATCGTTTTTTCTGGCATCGATTTGATTATGCGATTTCCGATTAGGCAAAATTAGTTGCCGGCTAAAGTGTCTGCGTATGAATATTAGATAGTTACTCGGTAACGTTGCCTTATTGAAATCATTTGATACCTATTTTATAACTTTGTAAATTATTTAGATACGATATTCAACATAATATAAATAAGGTTATTAATATTAGTCTTTACTTTTAACAAAGTTAGAGTTGACATTAAGAAAAACCAATTTTTCTAATTTGGAACTTGAAAGATGAGTTCTTCGTTCATTCAAAATATACCCGGCTTTGGAGAATATCCGTTCGCATGGCACAAAAACACAGAAACACAGAAACAATATTATCACAATATTACACCTCGAACGGTATATTTCTGCCAACGTCGGGTATATTTCGGAATGACGGAGCCACCATTCATTGGATCGCTCCACTCCCCGTCAACGTTTTGCCGGGGGAAAATTTCGTCTTCCAAGTACAACCGCATCTATCATCAAATCGATGCTTCGACTTGTCATCGCCGCGTTTTCCGTTTCGTAGTCATCTGGCGCCTCTCGCTCGCTCGCATTCGGTGAAGTTCGCATCGGATGTTGCGGGCATCCGTTTTTCAATATATCGGCATCGGATGCCGGCATCGCGCACTGGCATCGATGCTTAAAAACGTTTTTACAAAAACGACCATCTCTATTGATAACACAATTAATGTCAAATTGTCAGAATTTATGGCGGTAACAATAAGTGCATCGCTTTCAAAATAATATTTGACTTTGTCAGCATCTTGTGAGAATGAAAATATTATAAGAATATTGAATAAGGAAACTTCTAACATTCCAATCATTTTAAGGAATACTTTAATTAGTAGTTGTATAATAACTACAACAAGTTACGTATTTTATTTTTATGGTTAATTTCATAAAAATTACAGCATGTCGAATGTGAAATTGAATCTGATAGCTGCTGCCTGTGAAAATATGGGAATTGGTGTAAATGGAACGTTACCATGGCGTTTAAAGTAAGGCATTTAAAAAGTATAATTCATTTCTATTCATTAGATAGTAGGGTATATTGGTAGGGTAGGCATTGTTGCTTGAATAATAGATAGGTGACCACAACAATTCATAGAAATTTATACAGATATAAGGCAAATTTGTGCAATATAAACAAAATTAGAAATCGTTTGCGGTTCAGGCCTTCGGTAACCTCAGTCACCTGGTTAATACCAATAAAAGAGTTGCTTATTACCAATTTTCTATGAGACAGTGGTGTTAATCTAGTTGAGCCGACCAATTTGCACCAAAGCATTGCTCACTCAGTCAATGTAACTTGTTTCATTTACTTATGTTATTTAGTAAAAAATGTTTTGAACCAACTTCGAAAAGGAGGAGGTTATCAATTCAGAGGTTTATATGTTTTTTTATGTATGTTGGGGCATAACTCTGTCATATATAGAAGGATTTGCAAAATATTTTTTTATGAAAGAAACAAAAGTGGGTTGATTTTGAAATGGTCTCATTTAAATTTCATATCGATCTGATAATGAGTTTTTAACAGGCAAACGGAACTCTTCAAAACATGACAGCAAATCAATCGTGATTGCTGCTAGGTTTTTAGTGCTCTTTGTTAGTATTGTTTGAAGATGGTTTAACTCTTTTTTTAAAAAGGATTTTATTTAAGTATCTATCTGAAAATCCATATGAACCTAATACAATTATGTAGGTACCTACCTCATTATTTTTTCAGAAAAGAAATGGCATACTTCACAACAATGACAACTAAAGTTAAGGATCCATCAAAAATGAATGCCATTATAATGGGAAGAAAATCCTGGGACTCAATACCACCCAAATTCCAACCATTGAGCAATAGACTGAATATTGTGCTGACTCATCAGGTTGATACTATTAAAGAAAAGGTACTGTTATTATTTATACATGTCAACACTTCCCTAAGGGAGCTAACTAACCACTGCACTGCAAAGAGAAGAAAAACTTGACACAAACCCTATAGCAACCTGTCTGGCCAGCGTGTTACAGTAGGCCGAAACTTCCTTTCTAAGGAGAGGCCTATGTGCAGCAGTGGACTATTGATGCCTATTGATGTGATGTGTTACTTACTTGCCCTGACTGATGCTTTTTATGTTGTAGGCACCTATTAGGTATTTCTCGAAATTTTACCTATACTCGTAAAGGAGAAAATAAGGGACGAATGGATATATGAAAGTTCATTATTTACAAAGTTACATGAAAAAAGAAATAATCATGGGAGTGATACCTCACTCATCTGATTCTAAACTAAGCTTGTCTGCTCAATTTCTGTCTTTAATGCATATTAGGGGTTATGGAATTGCTGATTTGTACTGGAAATTTGAAACTTGTTTTTTTCTAAGATGTAACATATTTATTTAACCTTTACTCTCATTATCTATACATTGCTGCCATTTAAACGCAACTTTATTTATCCCATTGCGATAAAACTCTGGGTATCTAGATTCTACAAACTGTGTGAAAGCATTTTGTACTTTTGTACTAAATCACGAAAAAAATGGTAGTCCGTTAGAGCAAGGTCCAGCGAGTACGAAGGATGATGTATGGTTTCTAAGTGCAGCTCCTGTAGGTTTTTCGTGCAATGTGAGGTCTTGCGTTATCATGGAGCAATAATGGTGAACATCGAGTCGGGGTTGTTTCACTGCCAGTTTCGCCATCATTGCTTGAAGTTGGGCACAGTAAACATCTATAGCTTTTGAGAAAGCTATAGTGAATAACACCCATGAGGAGACCACCAAGCAGTTACCATTACCTTTTTATTGGTAAGCTTTGCGTTAGGGCACTGTAGCGGCGTTTGACCAGGGGTCACCCGTTGTATTTTTCGCTTACGGTTATCGTAAACAATCCACTTTTCGTCACATGTCACAATTCGTTTTTTCCTTCACTTCTGTACCGATTTAACAAGGCAACACAAATGAGGCACCCATTTTTCATTTTTTTTATCTTAATTATTTAATGCAAATGAGTCAATATTGTAGATAGGGTAACGTTAAACTATGACGCTAATTCCTGGGTAGTTTGACTCGGATCTCCATCTCCTGCAATTCAGCGTGGTTCGTTTCCATTTCCCTTACAAAAGCGTTTAAACCAAAAATGCACGGTGGCTTCATTAGCATTCACCTCTCCAAACTTAGCGTTGATATTGCGAGCCGTTTCTGCCGCGTTAGTTCCGCGTCGGAATTCACAATAAAAGATGACTCGGATTTTCGAAGTATCCATCTTTCACGTCTAAGCTGAATAAAAAAAAACAATTGAAAGTCGAAAATCGAATGTTACACATTTTATAAAAGAAGCACCTCATAGGTATCATGTGAAAAAAAGTTTCACACGAAATCTCATACCATTAAGATTTTATGTTAATTCAAAGTATCTATTACTATACAACGGCAATTTCATAATTTGACCCCTATTATTTCGAAACATGAGGTTATATATTGACACAACAGATAGTGTTATCTGTTTTGTACTTTATTTATTTTACGCCACTGCGCCAGAAGGGGGTTATATTATTACAGACATGTGACACACAACGCCATCTACTTTCAAACTAAGCTTGTACTATGAAAGCTGGATTGACTGAAAGAATACTTATTTTTTTCGTAAATTCATACATATTTACATAGAAAATACTTCAACTCCGAAACAAATATTTGCAAATCATACAAACAACTAGTTTAACCTGGGAATAAACCCAGCAGTCGCATACGCTACCACTGCACCATGAAGACAGTAAATTTTTTATTTATGTTAAATAGCTTTCTTTTTTATAATTTTACATGCTACGAAGCAACTTCTTGTTGATCTATAATTTTCAATTTGTGAAATAATAATCAATTGCGTTTTGACAACCAATTTAATAAATTAAAAAGATTTTTTAAAACTCTCTAAAAGCTCTTATTCTTTACTGGCAGGTTAACATACAGATTTGGATTGTAATTTGCTGTTGTACGCAAATAGTATAATAATAACAATCTCACACACTGCCATCTGATCCCACACTTGGCAAACCATGGTCCCTGTACCATGGTAACCAGAGTGCTGATAAACATGATCATGCTCATCACACAATTATTAATCTTGGGTGGGAAGCGACCCTACGCCCTCTACCACCACTACCACCACCAGGCCAACAGGACCTCTAACCACTAGGCCCCAAATCTCCCAATGTCTCTACACATAGACAACATTTAACTTGTGGTACTTTAATAATCATAAACCATCATAATGTTCAGGTACCCGAAGATGTAGTGGTAGTGTCAGGACTGGACGAAGCCATCAAACATATAGAAGGAAGACAAGACATAGAATCCACATGGGTTATCGGAGGCTCTGCCATATACCAGGTATTTTTTTATTTACCTAACTTTACGTAGTGTAGGACGCCCACAGGCCAGGTGGAGTGACGATTTGCGCAAGATGGCTGGCAGGAGCTGGATGCGAGAACCTCAAAGTACCTGAAGTAAGTCTTTAGAGGTCTTATTTAAAGTGTTAGGACGTATTGAAGTGTTTTCATACTTACCTAAATAATTTTTAAACGGTCCATTATTTTTGTTATTTTATTGTCGAACAAATTAAAACTAATTCTTAAGAAGTTATGTACAAAAGATGGTTACAATCCGCTTACCCGTTTCAGAGATCCAGCAAACCCACAAACGTTACTCCAGCAGGATCTCGAATAACTTCGCAGCCGAAGAAAATACAAATACCAAATAAGTTGTAACATTTACCTAGTCCGGATAACTAATTATGTAGCTAAAATTTATTTCAATATTACAATTAAAAAAGAAAATGTCTGGCTGCGGTAACGTTTCAAACGTTACTCCAGCAGGAAATGTTTTTTTGAAATAACTAAAAAAGTTTAAGTGAAACAAATTTAAAAATGTGCCTAACAATTACAGAAGGGGAGCAACTAATTATCTATAACGTTTAAATGACCATTTTCGACATTATTTTGCTGGGGCAACGCACACCTCTTTGCCTGACATGCCGGCGGCGTGACCGTCCCCACCTGCTCATGCTATATAACCCGGGCAATGAAGCGGGCGATCATGTTAAGTCTTGAAAAATACAGTAAATTGAGAATATCCTAAGTGAGAATAACTCACTTTTTAATATTAACAAAAATCTGCGGGTGGAAGCTAGTGTAATATATTCTCAGAATACCTTTATGTGCTGCCAAAGTAACTCTTAACCTGTTAACCAGGGAGTTCCCGTTCAAATTATGCAACATGTACCGGGCGCGTATTGTTTCGCTAGGACATGTCAATACTTCACGCCCGGAGACCGTCATTTCATATTTCTATATATTTATTCATACAATAAAAGAAAAACTATGAAATATATATCGTTTATTAATATTTTTAAGTACAAAAGGAATCACAAAACAAGTAAAAGCAAGTAAACAAAATAGAATTACAGAGGACGTATTCATATGTCCTACACGTACCCGATATTGTTTACGCCTGACGCATTTTTACGTCTTGTCCGGTAAACAGGTTAAGAAGCATTTATCTTGCTGTAAGTCTTATGACTAGCACCGGAGGTAAAATACCTTATAAAAAAACTGATTTTAAAATAAAAATAAGAACCCTATTGTCTTGTTTCCAGGCAGCAATGTCACACCCTAACTGTGGCAAAATATACTTAACAGAGATCCAGAAGTCATACGATTGCGACACATTCTTCCCGAACATAGATAAACAGCAGTTCCACTTGGTAGACGAAGAAGACATCCCTGAAGAAAGACAAATGGAGGGAGATATTAGTTATTATTTTAGAGTATATAAGAAATTGTAAATATAATTTTCACTTACGTAAATTTAGTTTTAATATGTGGTAACACTGTAATGCACAGAGCCATCTAGGAAAATCAAACTGAACTACTTGAGATACAAATTGTCCTGGATCACGCTATAGGTAGTAAGCATACTTAGAAATATACGTGTCATGTAAAACCTTTCAAAGATGGAATGTTGCTTCTGCATCATCCAAATAGTAAATAGGGGGAAGCCAGTTTATTATTATATGGAGATACTGTCAGTTTGGACTCTTATGGACAGGATAATCCTAACTAATATTATAAAGTAGAATGTGAGTTAGTAGTCTTGCTGTTCCTTTTTAATTGATCAACGGATTATTATTAGACTTGCAACGAATAGTCGGTTACTATTCGGTATTCGGCATATTCGGCTGCTTTTATTATATTCGGCCGAATACCGAATATCTACATATTATTCGGCCGAATACCGAATACTTAAATAATATATTTTGTCATTGAGAAATAATTGGTAAAATGAAAAATTAAAATCGATTGATTACGACGTATACATTCATATTTTCATTTCTGTTATAATCATTTAAGTAGTCATTGGTGCGTAACACAGGTACATAATCATCTTCTGAATTGGAAAAAATGGAGGATTCTATGTATTTGAATTATTGTGGTAATCAAAATTTAGAAGGGTAAGGTTCTCATTTCTTTTATAATCATTTATTAAGTAGTCATTGGTACATAAAACAGGTACATAATTTAATTCACGTCTGTACAAGTTTTTGCCGCTAAAATCCAGCCGAATACTTTTGCCTAATATTCGGTCAGGGGCCTCGCCGAATATTCGGTATTCGGTATACTGCCGAATATACTATTCGTTGCAAGTCTAATTATTATGGAATTTTCGATACTTGTTACCAGGAGTACAGAGAAGGTTTCACAAACCACATACGAAGAGAGCTAAGATACACTGAACTATGGAATAACTACTGAATCTGCATCGCCTCGACTCCAGCTTGTGTGGGCGACGGGCCTTAGTGGTAGAGGGACCTACCACCCGTTCCTCCGTAACTGTATTTATAAAAATGTTGTTGGTTTGTGTTAAAAACTCAAAAAGTTCTGCACCGATTGAGCTCAAACTTCGACACGATATACAACTAGCTTCGAAGATTTTTTATCTGTCGTATCAATTTTGTTCATTTCTCATCAATATCACCAGGATATGCCGTAGTGGAGCGAGGCAGGGTATGGCTAGTGTTTAATAATAAGAGGTTAAAATAATACAATAATGTCTACATAGGAATTATATATTTCAGAATATTAATACTAAAACATTAACATAAAACCACTTAAAACTACAAACTAATGCTTAATTCTAGAATACAGAACTCGTTCACGTTTTATCTCTCACTTAAAATACGTGAGCGGTTTCAAATAGTTGATAGAATAATAAAAATATTTCGACCTATACGCGATTTGGGAGTACCCAATTTAAAAACAGCTCAAGTCAACGTGATTGGTGTTAAAAATAAAGTATGTTAAGACTTGTGAAGGAGGTGGGAATTCGAAATATTTTTGCAAACCTATAGTATACTTAAGATATTATTTTTTTTGGGTTTTTCGTTATTTTTTTGCTCTACCCCGGAGCGGGTGAATAATAATGATTAAACACGACGACATACATATTTATTTTAATTATATATAATAATAAATTGTTAAAAGGAAGTACTTACTTTAAGAAATGTCATCCTACATTCAGTTTTTATGAACTTAATAAACGCAGCGTTATTCTCAAAGCTGAAGTATTAGAAAACGATATAAGTATTTTTTTAATAATTAATTAAAACGAACCTCTTTTGATTGTTTTAAAATTCGAATCGATGAATTTACTCAATACTTTCGATTAACTCGATAGAAATAACTCGGAATTTTCGAGTTGAAGGTATGTTTGATGGAAATGGAGAACGAGTTTTGTGTGTTATGTGACCATAAGAAATTCGTAATAATACGTTAATACAATAATACACTAAACATCTATACTACTAGACTTGTTGACGCCATACTAAGCAAGCCCTGTGATTTTCTTTAATATGAAAAAACGTGCAAGTTTCAAAATACTGTTTCTATAATAAACTTTAACTACATGAGTGACTCGAAATTTTCGAGTTATAGAAGTCGGAAAATTTTTTTTTTTTAATAATCCACCGGCCAGATGTAATCGTCACTGCAATAACTCGAAAAATTCAAGCTATGGTCTAAAAGTTATGACTCTAAAAATGCATGCTTCAATTCCGACTTATAACTCGAAACTTCCGAGAGTTACTACATGTTGTAGTGCAAGAATATGTACTCTGGGTTGGTGATTTCTTGCGGCATGAGAGGCGAGTTGGGTGGGAGAAGTTGGAATCCCATGAACATAAAAGTTCGGAGAAGTGTTGCGCGATCTGGGCGGGACTTCAAGACGCAGATAATGCAACTGTAAAAAGATAAAATATTATTTTAGAATTTTTTAATGATATTGCAGCATTTCACTCTCCTGTTTGTAATGTGGTTAGTGAATGGAATGCTTTGCTAGAGATAAACAATTGATTTTGTGTCTTCGTGTAATTGATCTATAATAACTATGTGTTTAGTAAGTATATTACGAGTATGTTTATTAGCTCTCTGGTTATTGTAGTATAGGCTTTGTTTAGTTTGAGATTAAACAGTCCTGTACACACATAATTTAACAGAGTTAGTCCCAGACTAGAAAAGCAAAAACTGATATCAATTAGCAGTTATTTTGCTAGAGTTTTATTCACGTGGCTTTAAACTCTCAACTTTACAGAAGACAACAGTTACCATTATTATTTGCCAATCATAAAAGATACTGTTTCACTCACTTGGTGCAGCCAAGACGTTCCTCTGCGAAGTCCAGCAGAAGCATGAAGCTCTCCTTGCTGCCCGACTGCAGTACTCCCGGCATGCGCAGATAGATGGTGCCGCCTTGCAAGACCTGGAAATTAATACATGATTTATTAGATTGACGAAAGATGGAAGACTAAAAAAATAATTTATGTCTTGGGAAAGTACGGTCAACAAAAAGGTTTAGAAGTTATACATTTTTTTTTATTATAAAACAGCAAAATGTTTGGTTTTATAAAAATTTAAAAGTCCAGGTCCTAAAAGCCCCACAAACCACCCACCCCACCTTGTTAGGAAAGAGATTTTGCTTATACGGCTGTATAAAACTGCACGGTTGCATAGGTTGAGGGTCAAGCTCGCGTTCAACAGACTGTTGCAGGTAAGGCTGAGCATTCTATTTATTTGATTCATTAAACATTTCAGTTTGAAAGTTGGTGCTGTGTCCTCTCATTTAAAACGCGTATTACATGTTAAATTTTTATATTTACCGCTTCCCAGCGAGTGACTGTATTCTCAGTTAGATATATTTTGAAGTCGATCTTCACTGGTTGACGGTCCTTTCGGTCCAAGATCTTACTGATCACCTGCAAATTTGAAACAAATTAAAATTTCTGTTTATGTAGAAGAATTTGGTAAAAAAGCACTGGATTTACGGCGGTAGATTTTTAGTCCAGTGCCCATAACCCGCAGAAGACCTATCTAAGGTCTCACCAGTAGCAGTTATCATAAGGACATAAGGTACAATAGAGTTATGGTCAAAATGGAGCTGTTTTGCAAAATACACTTAAATAAAACAACTTTAATCTATTTACATATTAAAATGTTAAAAACTCAAAGAGTTTTGTACCCATTGAGTTCAAATTTTGACACAATATACAACCTGCTTCAAAGATTGTTTTTATCTATTTTCCGTGTCTTTTTTGTTCCACATTTCACATCAATGCAATCACAATGTGCCACAGAGAAGTATGATAGGGTACAGCTAGTTTTTCATAAATTTTAAACAATTTATAAATTTTTGAACTGTGGGGTATATAAGGATGAGTTACTCACCGCTTCACGCCTCTGGTGTTGTAGTTCAGGGTGCGTTTGCGTTGGTGATGACGGTTCGGTGACCAGACTCTCCGCGCTGCTCGCCAAAGAACTGGCGCTGGCCCATAGTAGGGCGCTCAACAAGTCACCTGCAAAATACATTTTGTATATTTATACGAAGCAGAGCCGTGTGGGCCGGCTCACCTAAACCTCCCAGGAACTCAAAGAGCGATAACGCAGGTGTCTATATTCACATTGCATCAGGTGACCCGCCCTCCTCGTTTGTACCCACCCTACATCAATTATTAAATACTGAACACATATGGCATAAAAAAGGCTTTTTGTCATCTTACTGGTATTAAAGCAGTCCACATACCACAAATCAAATAAAACTACTAAGACAACATATGAGTAATAAAATTATATGTTGTATTTAATTTTTAACCTTTATTTTGAAAAAAAAAAAACGATTATGTGAGTGTGATATGTTTTTCAGCATATACAGTTGACGCACCTGTGAATTGGTTAAAATGCAGATAAGTAGAAGAACGTATAAAAATAACGCCAATTAGGATATTTGACATTAAGTAACTCATTTTAAAATTTCTTATTTACAACTTTTATTGCGATTCTACAAAGCATTCCATCAATAATTTGTACATACAAAATCAACATGGTAGAATGCACTTACGGTTGTTGTCGTCGTGGGTGGGTGTTGATGGAGTTGCGGGGCTCGCAGCCCCGCCATTCACCCCTCCGGGCGGTGCCGAGCCGTGAGCAGGGCTATCAGGACCACCTAACGCAAAAAAGATTATTCATTATATTCAGTTCCAGTTCCGTGTGGTGACGGATTAAGAATACGGAGCGTCACCCCTATTCATCCCGTGGGTGTCTTGGAGCCGACTAAGGAAGCAAACTATGCATGACAACGGCACTGTTTAAGAGAAGGAAACCTTGCAGCAAACCCTATACCAACCCATCTGGCCAGCGTGGCATGGTAGACCAAGACATCATTTCTAAGGAGAGGCCTCACTAAAAGCCGTTGATGATGATGATTTTATATTGTCTGTGGCAATGGTCCTTCAGGCTAGTCCTATTGGTAGGTCCAGATTACTCTACATTTGACCATTTTTAAATTTGGAATAGCCAACGAAAATATTTCATATCAGAAAAGAGGTCAGTTATACTTGTGAGAAGTTCTTTTTTTAATAGTTTTGAGGATACTTACCACAGAGGCCCGGCGCCCAGGCACAGCGAGAAACACTCGGCGTCCGAAGCCGACAAAGCCGAGCGCTTGCTCCCGGCGGCGCTCAAGGACGCGCCATCGCCACTATAACAAGGAAAAAAAAACTTAGCTCACAAAATCTCAGTGCACTTATAGCTTACTGCATATTTATGAAGAATGGTAGAAAATTGGAATACATACTACACGAAAGTGGTATTACAAGACCGTATGGTAAATAAGTTTTTAATGTAACCTTGAAAGTTTAGTTGTGATTAATAATAAGTATCTTACGATTTCTCTTTTACTCGATTGCCGAGGGCAATGTTTTTCAACGTGTGAAAGGTTAAATCATTTGACAGATTTTCACATTTGCTGTCTGTACCTACTAACTTTTGTATTCATCAATAATCCGTTTCCATATCCGTGTACACACAGCTAACGAAATACTAGGCCAGTAGCAATGGTAGAATAATAACTCGTTTCTTCACTCATATGTATTTGCAAATTATGATTATTACAAAATTCTGCGTCATAAATTTCAATTAGTTCTAGTAGTTTCCAGTTCATTAAAATCACAGGTAAAACAAGTTGTTGAGTTTTGTTTTCGTACTACTCACGAGATATTTCGTTTGCCTGTGTACTTATATTTCGTAACGATTCGTAGCATCATTCATCTTTTGAAAGTTGCATGGAATATATTCTTTAGCTTTTAAATTAAAGAACTAAGATAGCGGGTTCGGATTTCCTAGCAATAGCTAATTCACGTTACAAGTCTGCGCCATTGCCGTCTATTTCTTGCACTTCCGAAATCGTTTTTATATGCAACATCGCGATTATCTAATTTGATTGGCTGCAATAGCCTTGGCTGGCACAATTAGCGTTGAATACGCCTGTCTACCCTTTCGGGATTACAAGCGTGAGTATATTGAAAGAAGCTAATCGACATACCCTATTCTGCTTTGCCAACATAATGTATCAACTGCTAGATATTCGTTCAATTTTGATAAGTCACCGGCTTTTTTCTCAAACATTCTTTAATATGGAATATTATCACTTGGTAATAAAAAAAACTCGTCAACACGTCTGCGTTATGAAAGATTTCTAAAGATATTTGCTTGCTGTAGGGTACTCAGATATCTTCGAGTAAGTGCAAATACGTATAAGATTAATTTATTTATTATGTTTGTTCATTGTTAACAACCTTATCAAATAATCCCATAAGGCTTAGAGCATCTTGGGTTTTCCTGCGACAAAAAATAAGTTATAGGTTCTCTCTCTCTCTCCCTTTCGGCAATAGTCAGTTTCAGTTACTTACAGTATGACCTTGCCCTACTGAAGGTACAGCCTAAAGAAAATAAAAAAAAAGATAAAAACCCCCCATCCGTATCAGTAATATCCCTTTCTTTCGAATATACTCCCTCGAATATCTCTAATTACGGGCATTTCCAACCACGCTGGATTGATCGTGGCTGTCATCCAACTCATGTTGACAATTTATCTACATTTACTAATATCAAAAACTTACATTACGATATACAGAATCAGCAGTTTACTATGTTTACTTTGGTCAGTTCGCGTTAGATGGCGCTGAAATAAGTTTTTGCTGTATGTGGCCACAATCTTTAAACTAAATAAGTAACACCAAAAATATTTATTCCTGTTTCGTACTTTAGCTATATCCTACGCTTATATCGTATAAAGGTTTCACTATTATACAACAGCGTTTAGCTGATTACAGCAACAAACAGCCCTATTAAGCAACATTTTTTTGGATATTATCCAAAATTGAAATGAAATGTGAAGTTTACAAAGCAGGGATTTTGGCATAGCGCCCAAGTATGATTGTTATTTTTATATGCATCAATACATTACTTTATTTGCAATTCGACTATAAAAATTTGAAGTATATTAATCTAATTAGGATTTCTTTTAAGCGCCCTGGTCTCAGAGCTCCTCAGGGCTCCCCCTTTTTTACCAAACTGAAGTTTCTTTTTTACCAAAACTTCGAAATGTCTAAACAGATAGAATCCTTAGAGCTCGTTCCCTCATTTCGGGTGTCGGGCCAGATAGAAAATCGACTGCTATAGATGCAGGACATTTTATATGAGACTATTCACACCTATCTGACACCGATTTTGTGTCGGCGCCGACATGTACTGTCGTGTCTTTGTGTGACACCGATTTTGTGTCAGCGCCGACAAGTACTGTCGGGTCTTATCTGACACCTATTTTGTGTCAGCGCCGACAGGTACTGTCGGGTGTTTTGCCAGCCCTCTACGCCCGGAAAAAAATCCTGTCAGATCTCGCTCGCCTACGAGTAAGTATGACGCTGTTCACGTTTGTCGGATGTCGATGACAAATGCAGTCTCTAAATCTTGCATTTCGGTAGTTTATGCTCACTGATATTCGAACCAATAACTCATTGAAGGATCTAATATTTGGACAAAGCGTTACGCCGTCATTAAATTATACGTATCTACATTAAATGGGTTTTGTTACTTTTTATCTTATTGTTTCAGCATAATAACATTTTTGTTTGCTTGTATCTTAGGGGCATAGACGATAAGGTTTGATAACGCACCTTTGCTTGTAGATAACTTATCATACTAAATGATTGTCTAGATTATTATAAGACATAACATAATATCACGTTTTGTTTATCAACTTTGTATATTATTGTGTACTAGTAACGTACGAAACGAGGACGCGGTCTACCCACCTACCTATCACATCTAATATGTGCCTTAACACCAAGAACTTTAGATAGATATTTGATCGAGAGGTAATCATCGCAGAACGAGTATTGCTTTCATCAACAGTTTACAAATGGCACACGTCTCACTCAGATGCGTTAACGTTCCTACTGAGTGAGCCGATAGGGCTGCCATCAGTTCCAAGTGTAAGTCTTTGGTACCATACAAGTCAAGCCAGACTATATTTAAATAACACTTAAATTATTCAACGAATTACGTTTATTTAATTATACGAAATAAACCAAATAAGATATAATCCCAAGGAGAAGGTCAATTCTGAATAACATAGCGTTTGATGTTTAGTAATTAAAAAACACATCTATTAAGACCTTGGACCTGTCATATTAATGGTTACAAATAAAACTAAAGTATCTGTAATTCCAATAGTTTTTTTAAATACACGCGTCTAAGTGTCTACAAGGTAGTTTTAAACATAAAAATTAATTTAAAAGCTATCGGTCGTTCTTATTTCTGTGAAATTCTCGGACACAGCTGGAGAAAAAATGTAGTAATATTTACACACAAAAGAATTCGTGGTGGACACAGCTAGTGTGCAAGTCATATTATTTGTGGAGATCACTTTTTCCTTAAATATACGTTGGTTACAGTTAGGCAAGTTTTCACACATTTGACATCATTGTCAGAATACTATAACCATCCCAATCCGTTGTACAAATAAGTAAAATTACTCATGATTTAGTTCGTTGTACTATGAGGAAGTAGATGTACTAGTGGTACAACTTTGGTGAGTTGTTATTAACATGATCATATGTAACTTTTATTTATTTATTTAACTTAATGCACAATTGGACGGACACAGGCGGACTTAATGCCCAAGGCGTTCTCTGCCAGTCGACCTTCGGGTGATGTAGAAAAATGATGCTATAGGTGCAACAGAAAACAGAGAATTTAATTTTATTTTTATTAAATTTATTTAAATAATTTAACTTTACTGGCCCGCGGTACTACCAGTTAAACATTGCAATAGAACCACGGGTCGGGAGAGAGCTATAATTTTCAATTTTTAACTTGATCTGTCACGGCATATCAGAAGAGAAGATAAATAATCTTCTCTATTTATTAGAGATGACCCTGACAGTTCAAGAATGAGACATCAAAGAAGTTTAAAATATATATTAGTGTTTTGTTGTTAAATAAGTCTGTATGATTCACTGGTGCCAAGTTTTATTGACATTGGTCCAGCATTTTTAGCATAAGATGTAAATAAACACGCAAATACCCGCATCTTTTGCCGCTTCCCTGTTATGTTTGTTTACGTAGTTTTTTCTGGTATGTTTTAGAATTACTGCATACACAATACGTCGTTTTTTGGCAGGTTGATATAGCGTCTGATCGCTAAATTCATATAAAACATGTATGTGAGTTTTTCTTCTGCCATTACCTCTAAATGCATGCACAGTGTTTGATGTACACTCCATACATCCGCAGAGCCTTTAACCAAATAAAAAAAAACGAATATATATATATATTCGAGACAGACATTTTTCACACTTTTAATATCACAACTAGCGCCTAAAATATGACGCAGTAACTAAATTTCGTATTAGTTTATGAATGAAATTTTAAATAGAATGATAAAAAATAAATGAAAGCATAACTATTGCCAAGTTTTATTAATGATTATTACTTTTAACGTAGCCACGTAGAGTTGTTCGGAAGGAGTCAGTGTAGTTCATGAGAATTTGCGACTCAGGCGGTTTTACGCATTAACTTGCCAGCGCTGTGCAAGGTTATTACTGTCCATTTCCAAGAGAAAGTCGTCCGGAAGTAGCTTTATAAGTACTTAAAATATATCATCTTTACTTTGTAATATGCTATGAGCTCCTAAAACTAGAATATGAGGGCAGACTGATCAGATTATTAACCGACTTCAAAAAGGAGGAGGTTATCAATTCGGACGTTTATATGTTTTTTTTAATGTATGTTCGGGCATAACTCCGTCATATATAGACGGATTTGCAAAATTGATTTTTTCTTCGAAAACGGTTTCCGAAATGGTCCCCTTTAAATTTCAAATAGATCTTATGATGAGTCTCAGAGAAAAACAACGGCAATTTTAAAAAGTTACAGCAAATCTTACAAATTTATATTACATAGATGTTGATGTACAAAAAAAATCTGATTATCGCGAATCACGCAGATCACATTCGCTGTTTGGACTTACTTCTAGAATTTCACTTATCAATTTCTTTATCATAATATTTATAAGTGAAGTAAAAACATAATTCAATAAACTATATCACGTAATACCATGTCCGATCGATTCGTAAGATTTTATTTTATGACTACCTGATACCCGTGACTTCGTTCGCATGGAATTTGAATAGCGCT